CGCCGCGCCTCCCGCCCCCCGAGGTGGCGGGGGGGGCGCCGGCGACGGCGGCGATTCGGACTCGACGGGCGTCGATGAGGAGGAGGCCGAGCCGGGGCCGAGCGCGGCTGGGCCAGGGGGCGACGCGGCGGCGGCGGCGGCGGCGGCGAAGGAGGAGGAGGCGGCGGCGGCGGCGGAGGAGGCGGCGGAGGAGGCGAAGGCTGCCGCCGCAAAGGCGAGGCGCGAGGCTGCGACCGCCCTCAAGGAGAAGGCGCGCGAGGAGGCGGCGGCAAAGGCGGAGGAGGCGGCGGCAAAGGCGGAGGCGGCAGAGGCGGAGGCGGCGGCGGAAGCGGCGGCGGCGGCGGCAGCGGAGGCAGCAGAGACGGCCGCCGCAGCTGGACTCGAGAGCGACCAGCCCGCGCCAGCGGCGTCTGCGTCGGCTGGCGACGTGGCGTCCGGTGCTGCGCCGACGCACGATCGGGTGACTTTGTTGCCGGCTTCGCAGCTCGAGGCGCCCCAGGAGCTGGACGACAGCGCGACGGAGGACGAGGCGGAAGCGCCGGCGCCTTCTCCCGCCCCGCAAGGCGGGTCGCAAGGCGGGTCGCAAGGCGGGTCGCAAGGCGGGTCGCTCCCCGCGCCTGAGGGCGTGGCGGCGACGGAGGCGGCGGGGCCAGGGGACGGGCTCGAGGCGGCCCCTCTGTCTGGCGGTGGCGGGAGGCGTCGGCCGCCCCCCTGAGGGCGGCGCTTGGCTGCGAGTAGGCGACGCAGGCGTACGACGAGCCGTTCGCGGCTGCAGCGACGCAGGCGTACGGCGAGCCGGAGGAGGAGGGCGAGCCGGAGGAGGGGGGCGGGGAGGAGGAGGAGGGCGGCGTGGCCCCATCCGGCGGTTTGCAGCCCGTGGCAGAGGAGCCGGCGGAGCCACAGCCGGCGCGCGAGCTGCAGACCTCCTGCGAGGGAGAGGCCCCGACGCCACTCCCGCCCACAGCCCTCCCCTTGTCGGCCCAGGTGGACGGTCCGCTGCACGGGCCTCTTCCCGCCGCGGGAGAGGCCGGGCCCGGGGCCGACGAGGGCGGTGCGGCGACGCAGGCGGGCCCAGCTGGCGGGGAGGACGTCTGCGGCGGCGCCATCGACCTGACTGGCCTGGAGACGCAGGCGCCTGCACACACCCTCTTCGGCCCCAGTCAGAGAGAGCTCGCACGCACTCGCGAGAGACGCCAAGTGCCGGCCCGCCCGCTCAGGAGGAGGAGGAGGATGCGGACGCGACCCAGCTCGAGGCGTGTGAGGAGGAGGAGGAGGCGCCAGAGGCGGAGGCGCCAGAGGCGGAGGCGCCAGAGCCGCCGCCTCCGCCTCAGGCTGAGGAGGACAAGGACGGCCCTCGCGATGCGTCGCAAGGCAGCAGCGCGCCCGAAAGGGTTGCCCTGCCCGGCACCGACACGCCGCAAGGCGTCGCGGCGACGCAGATGGCGGCCGAAGCGCACTCGCCACGACGCGGCACCCCGCGCGCGCCTCTGAGGCGCGCCTCTGCGGCCGTGAGTAGGTGTCGGAGCAGTTCGAAGACGAGAGCGAGGAGCCGCCGCCGGTTGGCGCTCACGTGGCCTCTCTTGCCGGCGCCGAGCCCCTTGCCCCACCCTCTGCCGACGCGGCGCCGCCGGCGGTGTCGCCCGCTGCCGAGGCGGGACCGCGATCCTCCGCGACCGCCTCGCCGCCCCGCCCGAGGGAGCGGCCGCCCGAGCCGGAGCCAGAGCAACCGCCGGAGCGGCGAGAGCAGCCGGCAGGGCAGTCGGCGGCGGAGGTGGCGGGCTCGCGGCAGGCCGAGACGCCCGCGGAGGCCGCGGTCCCGGTGTTCCGCAGCCGGACTCGCTCCAATGACGGCAAGAGGGCGATCCAGCCCGTCCAGGAACGCAGCTCGCGCAAGAAGGGCAGCAGAGGGTCTGGATCGCAGGAGGAGGCGACGGCGGGACCGGCGCCACCTCCTGCGCTTGCGCCCGGCCCGGCCCGCCGGGGCCGCAGCGGCGGGTCGTCTGCGCACGAGGAGGTGCCCACGCCGCCGCTCGACGAGGCGCAGCGCGCGAAGCTCGGCTCGCTCAAGGTTGCCGAGCTGCGCGCGTTGCTCGAGGGCGGCGGGGTCGAGGTGGCGGGCAAGAAGGCGACCAAGGCGGCGCTCTTGAAGCAGATCGAGGCCGCCGTCACCTCCGGCGCTCTGACGCTCGTCCCAGAGCCCGCCGCGGCGGAGGGTGGGCGCGCAAAGCGCGGCCGAGCAGAGCCTCCGGCGAGGTCGTCGAGCAAGGGCGCGGCAGAGGCGGAGGAGGAGAAGGCTGCCTCCGAGGCCGCCGAGGCCGCCGCGGCCGAGGCGGAGGAGAAGGCTGCGGCCGAGGCCGCCACAGCAGAGGCGGCGAAGGTGGCGGCGGGGGCGGCGGCGGCGGCGGCGGCGGCGGCGGCGGAGCAGGTTCGCCTCGAGCAGGAAGCAGCAGAGGCGGCGGCGGCAAAGAAGGCTCTCGAGGAGGAGGAGAGGGCCGCGGCCGAAGCTGCTCGCGCCGCTGAGACGGCTCGGATCGAGGCGGAGAAGGCGGCGGCGGAGGAGGCAGAGCGGTTGGCTGCGGAGGAGGCTGCGGCCAAGGCACGTCTACAAGTCAAAGGTGAAGACGCGTCGCCACTCTCGTCTCACCGTGTGCCGTCGGGCCGCTGTAGGCAAAAGCGGCGCTCGATCCCCCGCGCCGCGGCCGCAGCAAGTCCGGAGTGGACGAGGCGTCGAGGAAAGAGACGGGGGCGGCGGCTGCGCCGGCGGCACCCAATCCGTCGTCCCGCCGCAAAAGCAGGTCTGCAGTGGCAGAGGCACCGGCAGCAGCACCGGCGGTGGCTGAGGGGGCAGCGGAGACTGGCCCGGCTCGTCGCGGTCGCAGCGCCGGCTCAGTTGCGGCGAAGAGCCCCGCGGCCACGCCCGCGCCGCCGCCGCCGCCCGCGGCCGCGCCCGCATCCGCACCTGCATCTGCGGCGGCGCCTGGAGCGGCAGCGGGGCGGTCGCAACGCAAGCGAGGCGCTGCTGCCGCCGAGTCCGCCGAGCAGTCCTCGACCCTCGGGGCCGCGGACAGCGCAGCGCGCGAGGAGGTGCGCGCCGCACCCTCGCTTCGCCGCGCCTTCCGCACTCCGGCCCCTCTCCTCCCTGCAGTCTCGTGCGCGCGTACTCACGTGGCGCCCGCCCTGCCCTTCGCCAACCCACGACAGGTCGCCCCGCGGCCCAAGCGGCCGAGGGCTGGCAAGGAGGGCGCGATCCAGGCCGCCTCCTCCGCCCCGCCCGCCCCTCCCGCCGAGCCTGCTGCCGAGGAGCCTGCTGCCGAGGAGCCGGCGAAGCCGGAGCGAACGCGGAAGCGCGCGCGAGAGAGCGGCGCGTCCCAGTCGGCTGCCGCGGGCGGGGCCGAGCAGCCGGAGGACGCTGCGCCGGACGGCGGCGGCGGTGGCGGCGGCGGCGGCGGCGGCGGCGGCGGCGGCGGTGCGGGGGAGCGGCGCGCGAGCGGGCGCCGCTCGTCGTCGGCTGGCGCCGCCGTCTCCTCCTCCACTGCCGCGGCGCCAAAGGCACAATCACAGCCGAGCGTCGCCTTCTCCGGCCTCCCCGAGGGCGAGCGGCTGGACGGCTTTCTCGCCACGGTCGCGTCGCTCGGCGGCAGCGTCGTCGAGGACGCCGCCGCCCTCTCGGCGCGCTGCGGCGGCGGCGGCGGCGGGGCGCGCTGCGATGGGCCGCCGAGCTATGACTGCGATGTGACTGCCGTCCATAGGGTAGCACTGTGATGGTGGTGGAGCCGAGCCCGAGCGTGTCGCGCACCATCAAGCTGCTCGTCGCGGTCTCCGTGTGCGACATCGTGACGCCCGAGTGGGTCGACGCGTGCCGCGCCGCCGACCAGTTCGTGCCGGTGGACGCGTACTTGCTCGGCGAGTGCACTGTCTCGAGCAAGGCGCCGCGCGAGAGACAGAGCGGAGAGCGATGGGTGAGAGGGGGTGGGGCGGGGGTCGAGAGGCGCGGCGCACGAGAGAGAAGAGCCGAGCAAGAGGGGAGCGCGCGAGAGAGAGCCGAGAGGATGCCCACAGATGCCTCCGAGGCGGGCCCACTCGGCCTTGACACGCCAGTCCCCACGACACCTCAGGGAGTCAAAGTCCCTTGGGACGCCGCCAAGGCGCGCACGCGCGCCGCCGCCGCGCCCTGCCTGCGCGGCCGCACCTTCTACATCACCAAGACCACCTCTCCGGACGCCGACAAGCTCAAAATCATCATCGAGAAGGCCTGGGAGCGGCCGGCCGGCGCGTCTCGGCTGTCCCCCTCCGCTGAGCGCGGCTGTGTGACTTGGCTCTAGGCGGGCGGCGCCACGGTCGACTCGCGTGCGGACCGGCGCGGGGCGACAGAGGAGGGCAGCTCTTCACAGCGTGCGCGCGTGAACAGGTGGAGACGCTGCCGACTACCGCGCCGCGCTCGCCGCTGGTGGTGGTCTGCACCGACAGGGACCGGCGCGAGCTGCAGCGCTTGCAGGCGTGTGCAGCGTTTCGCCGGGAGAGGAGTGCGGTCTGCCGAACCCTCACGCGCCCACCCTCGCCCCGCCTCAGGGAATGCGCAACGTCTCGGAGCTGCGTGACGCCGAGCTGCTCGCGTATCTGCTGCAGCAAAAGTACGGCTGAGCGAGCACTCGTGGAGCCTCGCGTGCACGGGAGGCTGCCGCAGCGGAAGGTGGGGAACTGCTGGGTTTTTGCGCGTATGTACCGTACGGTTTTCGTTCTCTTCGGGTGGGACGTACTTTTGTCGTTAGACACAAGCGCGGGAGGAGTTACAGGTATGTACATGTCCAGTTGTCACACCTCGGGGGCCCGAAGAATACGCGGCTTTACATATTACAAAGGGCTGCTCTAGAGGTGTTACTGGGCTGGGTTTTTAGGCATTGTGGGGTTGGCACTCCCATCGATCCTCATGACCTCCTGCGGTCTCTGAGATGGACACCAGTGGGTGTGGGACCACAGCCAGGATACACTCGAAGGCTGGGTAAGCAGTAGAGGTCGATACTCGACGCGTCCCACATGGTATGTGTCGCTGTCGGCACGCTGTCGACAGGACGTCGAACGACACCGGTGGCAGTGCCACCCAGGAGTGGTCGGTCGGTCTCCCGTCATGAAAGAGCCACCATGTGATCCGTATGATGATTCCTGACAACCGCCTCAGTCAACTTTCGTCACAGTTCCCGCTCTGAGAGGAGCTGCGGGTCAGTTCGACAGCTGGAGCTGTGTCGCCGGCGTGCGGCGGCCTGCCTCCGGGGGTGCCTCTGAGGTGGACATTTTTTGGTCACCGTGAGAGAACGCGTTCGAATTTTTACTCCGGAACTTCAACTGAGCACGCGCACCGGCCAGGGCTACAATAGTGCCAGTGAGGCGGAGGCGCGAGTCGGAAGGCCGCGACCGTCAAGTGGTTTCCCAATTTTCCTACAATCGCTGTGAACTGCGACGGTGTATCATTCACTTTATGCCACCGTTGCATATCACAGGTATTGAAAGTGTGGGAAGGGGTCACTCTGGTCCGTATAAAAAAAGAAAGAAGGTTACTTCCCCCAGGATTGGTCTTCTCTGCCTGCGGGAACACCCTTGGGCGGCCGGGTGGGGCTGCGGCTGGAGCTAGCATGGCTCGGTAGAGCCGAGACCCCGTGTTGAGGCGGCGCTCCTGTGGCGTGTGGGCGGCTGTGGAATCGGGAGATATTCGGCAGCCAGATCTCCCGATCTCATCCCAGTGATGGACGTCCGTACGTCCCTTCTTAGTGATTGTGTTTCGGACGGCCCTTCGTTGTGTTCTCCCCCGTCCGCCAGCGAGACTGGCTCAGACGCTGGCGGCCGCAGTTCTCTGTGACCCACCCACCTCTCCCTTGTGTTTTGTCTGGGGAGGGGCTTCTCCTGCGGAGTCGTGCGTGCGCAGGGCTCCTCTTTGCTTTCTTCTACTCCCTACTATCATCTCGTTCCCGTCCTACCAGAGAAAATGCGCCTCCGGCGGCAAAAATCCGGCTGGAGCGCCCGTCGCGTCGCCTCACTGTCCGGCCCCGTCCGGCCCCGGAGCGCCAAGACGTGCGTGTTGAATCTCAACGCAAGAAAGAAGAAAGACGGCTCTGATGAGTGACGCCGAGAGTTACGAGGCCATCCCGTGGCCCGGACAATCGGCTTCGCTCTTCTCATCAGTCCGGCCCTCTCCGCAACCGTCAGTCGCACCGCCGTCGTCGGGCGAAGTCTCTGCACTGGCGGCGCATCTCGCCGACCACCTGGGCGAGATTGCAGAGGACGCCGACGCACTTGCCTTTGAGCACGTTGAGTCGTTCAACCTCCTGTGTGTTGGCGAGAGCGGCCTGGGCAAGTCGACCTTCCTTCGCAACATCTTCGCTCACCTCGACCCAACGAAGCTGCACGAGGTGCGCCGGCGTGTCGCTGCCCAGGCGGACGTTGTGCAGTCGCTCGAGGACGTCATCGCTCGAAACGAGCACGAGTCCGGCCATGCCCAATGCGACGATGTGCGCGCGCTCGCTCTGCGCGAGGAGCGTACGCTCCTCAAGGCGAAGCGCGGCGAGGCTCTCCAAACTCTGGAGGATCTGAAGCTGGCGAAGCGCACACAGGAGCACGCAGTGGGCGCGCTGCGCTCCGAGATCGGCGTGCTCGCCTCCCGGATCAAGGAGCTGCGCGGCCGGCGCGATGCCGAGGAAGACGACGACGTGGCGGCCGAGCTGGGCCGCCAGGTGATTGAACTGCAGGGCGAGCGCAAGGCCAAGGAGGCCCTTCTCACGTCCGAACTGCGACGGTCCAACTTGGACAAGGAGAGCGACGGTGGTGGCGGCGGCGGGCAGACAACGGACGTGGTCGAGCGGCTGATCAAGGAGATGCCGCTGTACGACGGCGCGCGGCAGGGGCTCGACGTGACGCTGATCGATACGCCAGGGTATGGCGATTTGCTCGTCGACACGCCCGGCCGCTCCAGCGCCGACAAGGTCGTCGCCGAGGTCGAGCGTCGGATCTCGGTGCACCTCGCGCAGGAGGTGGCGAGCCGAGACGACATGCCGCTCGACGAGGAGAAGAAGCTGTGGAATGGGCTGGTCCACCTGTGCCTCTTCTTCATCCCGCCGCACCGCATGAAGCGCGCCGACGTCGAGCTAATGCAGCGGCTGCACACGCTGGTGCCGCTCGTGGTGGTCATTGCGAAGAGTGACACCATGACGACTGAGGAGACGTGGAAGTTCAAGCACCAAGTGTGTGACCAGCTCAAGCAGCACGTCTCGACCTTCCGCTTCAACGAACGGTCAATCAAGGAGGTCGAGCAGCTCCACGCCGAGCACGCCGTCGACACGTTCCAGCCTCTCTACGGCGGCGCCGACGGCTCCTTGCCCTGGGCGGTCATGGGCGCCGATGACTCGCAGCGCGAGTACATCTGGGGGACGGCCATCACGAACGAGCCACGCCACTCCGAGCTGCCAGCGCTCCGCGACTTGCTGCTCAGGGCGGGAGGGTGGCAGCAGCTGAAACGAGACGCGGCACTCAAGGCGGACAAGGAGGCCGCACGTCGCGCCAAGGCGACGCTACCGCCGTGCCGGTGGGGCAGCGAACTGTGGCGGGGGACGCGTGTCGGTGCGGAGGGCCTCCTCTCCTCCCGGCTCCTCTCGCCCCTCCTCGCAGTCCTCGCCCTCGTGGCCGCCCTCGTCGTCGCCTTGACCGTGCGTGACGCCTTCCACAAGGAGATGTCGAGTGTTCTCACGCTCGAGCAGCAGCTTGAAGCGCTGGGACGCGACTTGTCCTCGTGCAGCCAGGCGCGCGACGCGCTCGACAGGGCGTCCTCCGCCGCCAAGGCCGAGAGGATGCTCTACGAGCGCAAGGTGGCAATGCTGGAGGACGACTGGAATGAGTGCACGCAGGTGCGCAAGGCGTTGGAGATCGACCTGCAGGCGATCAAGACGACGCCCAAGCCGCCGCTTGCCGCGGCGACGGAGCGGCAAGCGCGCGCAGCGGCAAGCGGCCTGGAGGGCTGGTGGTGATCGTGGCATAGTGGTAAATGAATAACCGTCGCCAACTGCAGTGATGTGAATCGAGCCAAGGATGAAAGGGTTTTACAAGACAGGGTCAGCCTGTGGCGCTGTGCGCTGTGGGGTATCTGGATCTGCGACAAACGTTGTGTTTTTGGAGTTGTATCGCGAGACTTGCGAGGAGTTGGTACAAAGGCTAGAGGATGTGCCTCCCCTAACGTACGTCGACCTATTCCGCGGCGCCCCTGCCGAGTCGCTCAGCGCCAGCCCGCCCAACCGCAACCAAACCGAGGCGACCTGCTGGCCCATACTCGCCGGGCGGCGAGCCCTCCTGCTCCGCCTCCGCCTCTCTCTCGGGGTCGGCGGCCGCCTCAAGAATGTAGACACGCAGCCGCAGAGCCTGGATTCTTCCGCGCGCCTTCTCGAGGGCCTCCTCGTGCTCGTCGCGCTGCGGTTCGGGGGAAGGGGAGCTGGGCTTTGGCGAGGCAAGACACGTCGAGGGGAGCTGGTGGGGGCGTGTCGTGGGGCAGCGGGACTCCACTCTGGCTCTGGCTGCCAGCCGGCAAGTCGCAAGGGATTTGTGTCGGAGGATCTCGCAACTCGCCTGCGCCGCCATCGCGCGGCGGTGCGCGGCGCGCTCCTCCTCGAGAACGGCGCGCAGCCAGCTCACCTCGGCGCACAGCTCGGCGTGGCTCCGCCCCTCGACCGCACCCTCCCTCTCCCCGACAGCCTCAGCGACGGCAGGCTCGGCCGCAGCCGCCGGGGGATCCCGTCCTGGCTCCACCACCTCCGCCGCCGCCTCCTGCTCCGCCTCTTCCTCCGCCTGGTTGTCCTTGCCAGCGGCAGTGGTGGCGGAGGCGTCGCCGCTGCGTCTGTCGCCACTTGGGCCACCACTGCCCCGGACGCCCCATCCGCTGCCGCCGCCGCCGCCGCCGCCGCCGCCGCCGCCGCCGCCGCCGCCGCCGCCGCCGCCGCCCTCCGCCCCGCAGCCGGCATCACCGCCACTGCTGTAGCCACCGCTGGCGCGCCTGCGCCCCTTGCCCGCGGCGGTCCACCCCTCGCCCTGCGGATGTGCGCATGCGCGGACATGTCACGGTGCAGTGATGGGACGTGCCGGGTAGGGGTTGGAAGGCGGCCGCCGTGATGAGCACCTGCCGTGGACGTGTCGTGGACGCGTCAGTGGCCGCTGCTTGCACATCCCGCAGCTCAGCCTCCCAGGATGTGTCGAGAGTCTGGAGGCGGACACACACACACACACATACACACACACACACATACACACACACACTCTCTCTCTCCTCTCTCTCTCTCTCTCTCTCTCTCTCTCTCTCTCTCTCTCTCTCCCGGCGCAGACCTGCAGGTCGCTCTCGGTCGCGTCGACCGAAGGGGCCAGCATCAGCTCCTCGAGGCTGGCACCTGTGAGTACACACGCCCAGTCTCGAGTGGCGCAGGGGCAACACAGAGATGCCTCCCGCACACACAGGCACCGGCACCGCCGTCGACACAGGCACCGGCACCGCCATCGGCCGGCGCCGGCACCGCCCTCCCCTCCTCCTCCTCCTCCTCCTCCCCGCCTCGCTCTCCAGCCTCACGCTGCTCGGACCCTCGCCGCCGCCGCCTCTGCGCCGCCGCCGATCCCGCGGTCCTCTGCTTGGCCCCGGCTTTGCCGTGCCTTCGCGCCCGCTCCTCCTCCTCCGCCTCCTCGCGGGCAACCAAGCTCAGCAGCTCAATCTCGGCTGCTCGCCGCCGCTCCTCCTTCCTCTGCCTCTCCTGCTCCTGCTCCTGATCCTCCTCCTCCCGCTCCTCCTTTTCCTGCTGCTGCTGCGGCCGTCGCTCCTCCGCACGTCCCGCGTCCGCGCCCAGCACTGCCGCAGCAAGCGCCGCCATCTCCGGCGAGGGCGAAAGGGCAGGCGTTAGCCGCAACAGGCCGCCACCGCACTCGCCGGCGCCGCCTCCCGCCGCCTTGAGCGCGAGCTGCAGGCGGGCAAACGCATTCTGCTCCTCCAGCGTCGGCGCCACTTTTTGGCTGGGCTTGAGGACGAGCCCGGCAAGGAGCGCGAGGAGCGGAGGGATGCCAAGAAGCCGCTGTGCAGGACCGAGTGCTGCCTGCGCCTCGGCCTCGAATGAACGGAGCCGCTCGAGCAGGATTGCTGCCTGCTGTGGGTCGCCGACCGCCACCATTCGCAGGCGGACGGCTTTGGAGTGCCGGAAAATCGGTCGCACCGACTGCACTCCAAAAGCTCCAAGTGCGGCGTCAAAACGTAAAAAAAGAAACACAGGGCGTAAAAGAAAAAAGAAAAATGATGCATTCTCCGCGCGCGAGCACTGACTGACTCGGCGCTGCGAGCGAGCAAGCGCATCTATTCGTGCATGACGCTGCAAGTGCTCCCGCTCCTCGCGCTCGGCTGGTCGCCGATCGCGGTCCCGCCGCCTGCCGCGGCCGTGACGCGCGGCGGCCTTCTCATCGGAGCCAGCGCAGCGGGCGCATCCAGTGGGCAGATGGTCGACGGCGCGCGAATCGGCCCGCCTCCGGACATGCCGTCGATGCTGCTGAACCAGCGGATCGTGTACCTCGGATTGCCGCTGAGCGCGCAGGTGACGGAGCTCATCATTGGCCAGCTCCTCTACCTGCAGTACGACTCATCCGAGAAGCCGATCACAATGTACATCAACTCGCCCGGCACCACGCTCGAGGTGCCGACAGAGACTCCCCAGCTACACGCACCCGCTCACTGCGGCTCTCTCCCGCGCCCACACCTCCGCACCCACCTCCGGGTGCTGCCGCCTCGCCTCTCGCCCCCGCCAGCCTCTCAGCGGCTCTCACACCCCTCTCTCCGCTCTCACGCCGCACCACCGCCCCTCGCCCTCGCCCTCGTCCACTCGCCCTCGTGCAGGACGGCCGGCCGGTCGGCTTCGAGACGGAGGCCTTCGCGATCGCCGACACCATGGGGCGTGTCCTCCACAAGCCTCGCGCACACTGCTGCGAGTGTGAGCGGCGCCTCTTCACGGCTCTGGGTGTGAACACAGGTACGTGAAGCCGCCCATCCACACGCTCCTCGTCGGCAAGGCGTACGGCCTCTCGGCGCTGCTGCTCGCCTCTGGCGACAAGGGGCACCGCTCGACCCTGCCGTGCGGAGTAGCCGAGACCGCCGAGAGGAGAGGGAGCCGAGAGGAGCCGAGAGGGGCCGAGAGGAGCCGAGAGGGGCCGAGAGGGGCCGAGAGGGGCCGAGAGGAGCCGAGAGGGGCCGAGAGGGGCCGAGAGGAGCCGAGAGGAGCCGAGAGGAGCCGAGAGGGGCCGAGAGGGGCCGAGAGGAGCCGAGAGGGGCCGAGAGGAGCCGAGAGGGGCCGAGAGGGGCCGAGAGGGGCCGAGAGGAGCCGAGAGGAGCCGAGAGGGGCCGAGAGGGGCCGAGAGGGGCCGAGAGGGGCCGAGAGGGGCCGAGAGGGGCCGAGAGGGGCCGAGAGGGGCCGAGATTGGCAAGCGGGCCCCGCTCGACGCTGCCCTGCGGACAGGCTAGCAGGAGGAGAGAGCGCTGCCCGGGCTGTGAGGTGCGGTCAGAAGTGTCGGCCTCACTGCGTGTTAGGTACTGCACGGTGATGCTTCACCAGCCGCGGGGGCAGATGGCGCAGGGGCAGGCGTCAGACATCGCAATCAAGGCGGGGGGCGGCCGAGATGGAGCCGAGAGGGCGGGCGGCGGCGGTGGGCTGGCCGGCAGGGATGCGCATGGGAGCGTGTGGAGGGAGGGAGGGAGGGAGGGAGGCGGCGAGGGCGGGCGTGGCGGAGGCGGTGGCGCGCGCAGCTCTGCTCTCGCGCGACTCTGCTCTCGCGGCTCTCCGCCCACGCCTCTCCCTGTACTTCCTCTGCACAGGCGCGCGAGGTGCTCGTCAACCGAAAGAACGCGCTGCAGATGCTCTCGGCCGCCACGGGGCAGAGCGAGGAGCCCTCCCCCTCTCTGCCCGTCCCTCTCTCCCCTCTCTGCCTCTCTCCTCTCTCTGCCTCTGCCTCCCTCTCTCTCGCTCCTCATCTCTTGGCCCCAGACCTTGCCCCCCCCCCCCCCCCCTCCTGCTGCGCTCACACCTCACAGGAGCGGCTGCGTGCCGACACGAATCGCTGCCTCTACCTGGACGCGCAGCAGGCGGTCGACTACGGTATCGTCGACAAGATCATCGACAAGAGGCAGGCGGTCGGCGTCGACTCGCTCGCCGAGGACGTCGCGGCGGTCTCGCGCGGCCTCGGCTGAGCCTGAGCCTGTGTGCTTGAGAGGACGGTAGACCACACGCACGAGAGACGAGAGTCGACCAGCGGCGCTCAGGTCTTAGCCATGAGGTTGTGTGCGGTGGCGAAAGGCCGGCGGAGGCCGCATTCAGTCCGCTCCGTCCGCAGAGGCGCGTGTGCAGTGATAAAAACTTGTACAATCTCAATCGGATCTCTCTGCGGAAAGCACGAGACTGCGTGACATGGAAAGACTAGCACACGTACAGTTCACTCCTCCATCTTACTCCTCCATCTTACTGCTCTGCGTCTTGCCTCCCCCGCTGTTGTTTGCTCGCACACGCTGCTTCTTCAGGCTCTTCTTCGTGATCTTGGGCAGTGTGGCGCTGCCTGCTCGTCTGGTGAGCGGCGTCGCGGCGGATTGGATCTGCTCCTTGGTGACACCACCCTTGAGCTTGAAGTTCTTCTTCTTCTCGCGCACCCTCTGGCGCTTGCGCTGCTCCTTTGTCTGCGTCCTCTTGCGGTTGAACTGCGGCGGTGGCATCCAAGCGGGCGGAGCGTCGCCGGGCGAAAAGAATGTTTCTTACGAGGGTGGGACGACCGCGAGGTGGCATGAAGGTTGCAGCGAGAATCGGCGAGAGACTGCGAAGAGAGATAGGAAGAGGCAGACTCCCTAGGGTGGGCGACGGATAGCGCACCACACACCTCTCCTTAAAATCCCTGTGTGGTGGCGGCGTGCCGTCCTCCCATCCCTCCCTTGGGTTGTCTGTTTTCTTTCTTTCTTTTACGAGAGAGGAATCCCTGGGACCCTGTCGTGTGGGTGAACCCTGCCCAGCCCCCCTCCGTGTCGCGATGCGCTCCCCGCTCCCGTTCCCCTGTGTCCCTGATCGTCCATCCTGCTCGTGCAGGTGGGGACCCTGTCCTTCTCCCACCCCTCGTTTGGCGTGCCCGTTTTATAGCCCCCCGCTACCCAGTCGCACTCGTGCGAAGTAGCGGGGGGCCACAACTACGTTTACGAAAACATAAGTAGTCCCGCGAGGTGTGAATTTGGCCGCCCCAGTGCCCCCTTTCCAATGGCCTGGTTTTTCGGCGCGTCCCCACGGCTGACAGAGGCGATTCCGCGACGGCAGCAGGTGACCTGCCTCATCCAGCAGAAGTCAGGGCGCGGGCTGGGCGACAGCTACGCCTCTGAGCGCATCTGCGACGGCGTCACCTCCAAGGTGAAGGAGTTCTGTGGCCACAAAGACCATCAATTTACTGCGAACATAGTTTACCCGTCGATGCCTGCTGGCCTTGACATACAAGACACCGAGTCGCCGGAGCTCCAGGAATGGAGGACGTCAGTCAAGGACCGCGTCGGCTCCGCTCTGATCGCTGACACGTACATCTCGGTCATCGTCACACCGGAGGATTTTCTGGCCGAGCTCGCTTGGGAGGCCGTGGCACGGTACCGGCCGGCGTACGACCAGGTCCTAATCTCTGGTTTTGGGCACACCTCGCTGGGAAAGGAGCACCTGCTTGCGGGGCATATGTTTGGGACGATCGACACGCAGTACCACAAGAAGGGGAGGGGGCTGCAGTTTACCCTCTCGCGGATCATCCCAGTCGTCGGCCGCGAACTGAACGGCCTCCCGTCGGAAATCAGTAAAGAGCTGCTCCCGGGGGAAGACAGCGGGCGCATCTACAGTGACACCGAGCTGTACGTCGCCGACATGCAGGGCAAGATGGTGCAGCGCCTTTTCCGCACGTACGATAGCCTCGTCCCACCCTCCGGCAGCGACATCGACGGCTGCAAGGAGTGGACTGGTAGTGAGAGGGATGCGCCGGACGAGTGCAAGCTGCGCGTTAGGGCCAAGCTGTACGACATCCATATCGCGGACACTGTGATCGTCGAGGGCAAGCTCGAGGTGTCCTATTGGCTGAAGCTAAATTGGCTCGACAGGCGCCTCGCCTGGGATCCTGAGGTGTACGACGGCCTGATCACGATCGACTACACGAAGGTGTGGAGGCCACCCTACTACTGGCAAAACAAGGCGCGCTCGCACTCACCTCCCGTTCCCTCGCCACTCACCTCTTACCCGGCGGCCCCTTTTCCTCATAGTACCACGGGCGGAACCTGAAGCTGTACGAGTCGCCGGTCAGCATCAACTCGTCCGGGCACGTCACACTTGTAGTCAACGACCAGGCGACCTTCCTCTGCGACGACGATGTGGTGCTCTTCCCATACGACTCGTCCGAGTGCTCCTTCACGCTGGTCGGCGAGCAGACGGTCACGCACTTTGATGGCAGCCTCGGCTTTGAGATCGCCGACCCCGACCGCGACTTCCACACCTACGGCTGGATAGAGGAGGACGACATGGAGGACGACTCGGTGAAGCGCTCGCGGGTTCACTTCCGGCTTTGCTACCGGCGCGTCACGATGGGATACAATATCCGGCTAGTGGTCCCGGCGGTGCTGCTTAACGCCATCGGGTTCATGTCCTTTTGGATCGATTCGGCGGGCGAGAGTATAGCGCTTGGCATCACCTCGCTGCTGTGCATGCTGGCCCTCCGCCAGTCGGTTCAGCTCCCCGACACGTCCCAATTCACTTGGGTGGAGCTGTTCCTGCTCTTCAACGTGATCTTCCAATCCTTCGTCCTCCTGCTCGGTTTCATGGACTATTCGGCGGCGATCCGGAATCGCGTGAAGGTGGTGACCGACCCGATCAACAGTGGCCTGGAGCGGCTGTCCCGAACGGTCAAGCGCGGGAGACTTGCCCTCAAGGCGCCCAAACAGGAGGTCGGCGACGCGCGGGTGGAGTCCGTTGACGACGGCGACGACAAACCACCTGGGCTCATGGCCACCGGAGCACTGGCCGACGACGAGAAGAAGGAGGAGAAATCTGCTGCAGACGTGCTTGGCCGGTACCTGATAGTGCCAAGCTACTTTTTGCTGTTGGCGCTGATCTGCGCCGACGAGGGGCGCCTCGTCGGGCGGCTGATGTCCTCGCAATCATTGCTCACGTGTCCGACGTCGCTCCCTGAGGAGGGCAAGGATGGAGCCACGCCGAGATGGGGCTCGTTTACTGACTACCCTCCACCATGACTAAACGGCGATCGGCGATCGTGTCTACGGTGGCACACTTTCTCTTGTTATATCTTGTGACAGACAGCACAACGCGCAACACACGTGCACCGCGCACGGCTTTACAGACGCATAGTCTGAGGGTATCCTAAAAGTTCGGCCGATTTGGGTCAAAACGCTAAAAGCACGCCTAGGGGCGTAGAGTTGGGGCACAAAACGACAAAAGTGGGCCCGCCCGGGGCAAAATGGTAAAAGTCGCGCGCCGCAGGCGCGCGAAAATTTTGCGAGGGGCGCTTTCGAGGCGAGCAGCACAGCATTTTTCTAGCCATAGTGTGCGGGAACTACACAACTACTTCGCGGGACAATAGCTACTACTTACTGCACCTCCGGCGCGCGGAGCCTCCGGCCCGGAGCGCCGAATTTTTTTTAGACGAAATGCTAAAAGTTAGGCGCTCCGAGACGATCGAAGTGATAAAAGTCGCACTCTCCCCTGACCCGATCAAAAGTCTAAAAGCACCCGAGGCTCCAGAAACCTAACCCTCAGACTATGTACAGACGCAAACCATTGCAGGACCAGGAGAGAGACGACGCGCTCGACGGCTCCCAAGCCACACACCAACGAAATCGGATGTGAGAAACGTGTATACCGTATTGTTACTCGGCTGACGAGCAAGCGAGCGAAGGGGGAGAACCGGAGCCCGGGAGGACGGTCGGTGAGCCCCGAAACGAGGGTCCAAGCAGGACTGGTTGGGTAGCGTGGTAGGCTAAGTTCTGAGCCTCGAGGCGGCTTATAACTTAACAGGTCTAAGTCGTAAGTGTGACCGGTCACGCTGGGGTGTTTACGCGGCCTAAGATCGGCTCGAGCCTCTTATGCGGGCTAAGTCGGCCGTGATCATGGGTTGCCTCAAACGCAGCAAAACTGGCCCCAGGATTTTGGCGGTTTCGTCGCCAAGCATAGGTTTCATTTTCATAGTCGGCCGTCCTAGGACGTACGTCATTTCGAGGTGCGATTTCGGTTCTCGCGTGTATCTCGCTGCGCAATGGGAGTTAGCGCGCTCGCTCGCAGAGCGGCGCCTGCTAGCCGAGCGCGAATGCCTGGGTCGCTGAGCTCGCGCCGGTGGCCAGCTGCGCCTCCGTGGCGACGCCCTCCGACCACGAGCGACGTGCCAATCCGCACTATGAGCTCGCTTGGCAGCCGCCGAGTACGAGAGGACTTTAAACGGCCGGCTGACCAGGCAGCCAGCCGACTTCCCGCACCGGTCAGCGCACGTGCGGCCGCGCGTGTACGGGCGGCCGCACATGCTCCGCCTCGACGGCCGCCTCGCGCTCGCTCGAGGTCTGCTCCGCCCGAGCAGCGAGCTCTCAGGTGCGGGCTCTCGGGGCGCCGACCGGCTGGTAGGGAGGAAGGTCGACCGCGGAGCCAGGGCAGAGACGGCCGGGGCTGGGACCGTGAGCGGCGATCGCGCTCCGAGAAGCCCAGCGACGGCAAGGCAGTACGACGAGGCGCGACGCCCGTAGAGGGGAGGGCTGGCGAACAATTCGAAGCGTTGTGGTCTGTGGCTTTTCATGGAGAGAGAGTGGAACTTTAAAACTCCTTTCCGAGACAGAATGCTGACTCAACGCCCGCCCCGCTCGCCGCGACACGCCTTTATCACGGTAAAGGGAGTGGACCCTGAGTTGACCAAGGGTTATGCGCTGGGCCCTCCTGCTCGGCTTTAGCCAGTAGACAAGTCTTGTCATCAACAGAGTAGAAGGATCTGACCTCGGGGCCGATGTGACCAAGCGCTGGTAGCGTGGTTTAACCTCACACCCATGGTCTCACAGTGTGCCGGCAGTCGCCGAGCAGTGTCGCTCACACAAGCCGCAGCACAAGTGACTGAGGGCCAGTGAGGGCGAGCCCATCGCTGTCACAGCTGTGGCAGCCGCACAGTAGGCTGTGTCAACTGTGCAGAGTGTGTGAGCAGCAGAGGAGCTGCTCTCCAGGCTTCTGTCGCAAAGAGCTGCATGCCACCGAAAGCGCTGTCGAGGTTCGCCGAGCGCGGCGCAGGTTGAGGGAAGCCGCCACCGACGAGCGCGTTGGACTTTTCACTCCGGACAAAGACGGGCACACAGCGGACGGTGCGGGGCGTGTGCCCGTCATAGCGGCGAGGCGCGGGACCGTCTGTGGCGAAGTGGGTCGCGTCCCTCGATTTCCTCAACTCACGGTCCGCTCCCCGTAGAGCCGTACAGTACTGATCCGCTCGTCCACAATATTGAATCTGAGAATCTCATACGACACGCCATTGGCTATTGCCGCGGACACGGCCATTTAGTTGTACACACACACACACACACACACACACACACACACACACACACACACACACACACACACACACAAAGAGAGAGAGAGAGAGAGAGAGAGACTTTACGCGGCCCCCTTTCCCTGCGGCGAACGCGCACCTCCCCCAGGGCTACGGCTAGGGCTTCTTTTTTAGCCCGTAACCCGATCGCCGATCATCTGGCCCGCTGGGTGTGCTTCTTAGCCCGCCGGCCCCGGCCCTGGAGGTGAGGTTACCGACTGAAGTGCTCCAAGTATTGACGTAAACGCGCGCGCCGCAGCTGCAGCGCAGCAGCACCGCATAAATGTACAAGCTCACTCACAGTGCCGGTGTCGGGCAAAAATGACGGTGGGATCTCCAGCAACACGGCGCCGCTTTGCCGCCTGCGCCTCGGGGGCTGGGTACTCTGGGGCCGCGGAGGACATGGAGCTCCAGATTGGCCGGAAGGCAACGCCCCGCAGATTGTCCGCCGCCGCAGCCTCGCTGGTGCGATCCGCACTGCTTTCTGGCGCTGGCCACCCACCGGCCGAGGCAAGGCCGATTGTCTCGGCGGCCACCTCTTGCATGCTCGGCCGCATCGCTGGGTCGTGCTGCCAACAGCGCGCGATCAGGCGGGCGTAGACCGCGCGGTCGGGCGAGAGGCTCAGCGGCGGCCGCGACGCGGAGGCGGAGGAGGGCGGGACGGCCACCTCGTGCATGAGGGACCACAGCAGCATCCCGTACGAGAAGGTGTCGCACCGCTCGTCGTAGCCCGCGACGGACTTGCCGGACGCCGAGGACTGGCCACGGACCTCGGGCGCCATGAAGAGCTCGGTGCCTGTTCACACGGTGCTCCACCGTGAAGAGACGCCCTTCACGACGCGGCGGCAGCAAGAAGGCTCTCGGCGCCGACGCCCGAGGTGTAGAGCGCCGCGCCGGCACTCGGCGCGCACAACACTGGCGACGCATCGCCGGACGAGGAGACGGAGCAGCTGCCAACGAGCCGCGCGAGCCCAAAGTCGGCGACCTGTGGGCGGGTGCGGAGGCCGGGGTGGTGGGGCGCAAGCGAGGCGAGGTCGCGCGCTGCGCCAAAGGAGGATTCGGGCGGCGGGGCGGCGGGGCGGCGGGGCGGCGGGGCGGCGGGGCGGCGGGGCGGCGGGGCGGCGGCGCTCCTTTGCGTGGTGCTCTCTGTCGAGAAGCACGTTGCTCGGCTTGACGTCGCGGTGCATGACGCCGTTGCCGTGCAGGAAGGAGATGCCCGTCGCAACCTCGGCCGCGATCCTGGCCGCCAGCCCCGCCCGGAAGGGCTCGCCCCGCCTGAGCAGCTCGCTGAGCGAGGTCTGCATCAGCTCGAGCACGAGCGCGCCTAGGCGAAGCTTCCGAGAAGCTTCACTGGAGAGCTTGACGCGCCGCGACGTGGTCGGCGCGGGCACGAGCGCGCCGCCGCCGTCCGAGAGGACCGTCGCGCCGAAGAGAGTGCAGACCGACGGGTGGCGGAGCCGCGCGAGGAACCTAGCCTGCGGACAGCTTCGAGGAGGCTCCGGCAGGAGCGCTGTGGGGCGCCGCAGGGCCGGGCGAGGAGGCGCGCCTCGGCCTGCAGCCATATCTCGGCTGTATCTCGGCTGCACCTCGGCTGCACCTCGTCTGCACCTCGGCTGTATCTCGGCTGCACCTCGGCTGCACCTCGGCTGCACCTCGGCTGTACCTCGGCTGCACCTCGGCTGGATCTCGGCTGCACCTCGGCTGGACCTCGGCTGGATCTCGGCTGTACCTCGGCTGCACCTCGGCTGTATCTCGGCTGTATCTCGCGCCTCGTCCTGCAGCCGCCTCGCCGTCTGCCCGCCCCGCGTCACCTTGAGGGCGACGTGTATGCCGAGCCAGCGGCCCGCGTAGACCGTGCCTTGGCCGCCCCTGCCGAGGACGCGGTCGATGACGATGTCCTTGGCCGAAGGCGGCGCCGGCAGGACGGCCGCGTCTCGCTCGAGGAAGGCGAGCCGCACGCGCTGCTCCACCAGGTAGCCGAGCGCCTAGTTCGGCGCGCCGTGGGCGTGTGGGCGTGGGCATGCTGAGCCGAGCTGCTGCGCCAGAGGCGTAGCCGAGCGCCTCGCCGAGCATCAGCGCGCCTAATCTCGGGTGATCTCGGGGGTGATCTCGAGCGATCTCCATCAGGTGACCGAGGGCTCGCCGAGCATCAGCGCGCCGCTCATCAGCAGCGGCTCCCCGGGCCGGCCGATGTCGGTGAGCGGCGGCAGCGCAGCGAAGCCGAGCGCGTTGACTGCGAGCCAGCCCAGCCGGTGCGCGTGCGGGATGGCCTGATGCGCGTGTCTCGAGGCACTGGCGACGGTGGAAGGAATGGTCCGAGCCATTGCAGAGAGACGAGAGGCGAGAGCGGGGCGGGGCGGTGGAGCCGCTGTGGTGTGCAGCGTGTGTGATTGCACCGAGTAGCGCAGGTAGACGACGAGCAGGGAGGGGGGCAGCTGGCAGAGGCCAAACAGGTAGATTGGGGCTGCCGACTCGGGCGGGTGGAGCCGGAGGATCGTCAGGGTGACTGCGTAGGAGACGGCCGTCAGCGCGTTCACCTGCGTGGCCGTCAGTGTGAGTCGGGCGGTGGGGAGGCGGGCGTGGGGCATGTCTCGGACATGTCCTCGACGTGTCCTGGACATGACGGGTGTGGGGCGCGAAGCGGTGCTGGCGGCGCTCGCGACGCAGCGCACTGCAGTGTGAGTAGAACGAGCCGCCTCGGAGAAGCGGCTAGCGGCAGCGGCGGCAGCGGTGTAGGGTTCTAGGGGGTGGCACCGCGCGGCCGAAGAGGACGCGGGCGCGCTGCTGGTCTTGCATGCGGTCTGCCCGCCAGCGCGCAATGAGGCCCGACAGCTGCGTGCAGGCGGCGAGGAAGAGGACTTGCCGGGCCGTCGTGTGCGGGAAAGCGTCCGGTGCCAGCGGGGAGATCGCGACGGGGTAGACGGCGGCGAGGATCTGACGGCAAACGCGGCATCGGGGTGGCTGTGCAGCGGGGTGGCTGTGCAGCGGGGTGGCTGTGCAGCGGGGTGGCTGTGCAGCGGGGTGGCGCGAGGAGGGCCAGGGAGACTGGCGGCCATCTGGCGAGCGGGCGTGGCCAGCGGGCGTGGCCAGCGGGCGTGGTAAGCGGGCGTGGCCAGCGGGGCGGCGTGCGGTAAGGTTCTCGGAAGGTTCTCGGAAGGTTCTCGGAAGACACCAGGTGGACGGCCGCCCAGACGGCGAGGAAGACAACGAGGGGCGGGAAGGCGGAGCGGAAGGCCTTGGCCGTGTAGACGGCCTCCTCTTCCGGGTCGGTGAAGCGCAGCCTGGCGGCGGCCGAGTCGGCAGAGGGGCTGGGGAGTGGGCGGTGCGGGTCTGCGCGGGGGAGCGGCGCTTGGCTGCTGGGCGGGCAAGCAATGCGCGACTGCTGGCTTGATGTGCGCTGCGAGCGACTTGGAGGGGGGGCACACACGTCCACGGGTGGAGGGGCGGAGCGGTGTCTAGGAGGTGTCCAGGAAGTGTCTAGGAAGTCACACGTCCACGGGTGGAGGGGCGGAGCAGCGGCGGCCGGAGAGCGCCGCCCGGCGGCTCGCTCGAGGAAGGCGAGTCGCATGCGCCGCTCGAGGAGGTAGCCTGCCGCCTCGCCGAGCAGTAGTGCTCCGCCTACGCGACACCTCGAGGCGGTGGCACCGCGACCTCGGGAGACCTCGCCGAGCAGGAGCCTGGTCCGCCCAGCAGGAGAGGCTCCGCTGGCCGGCCAAGCACAGACAGCTGCGGCAGCACGGCGCTGCCGAGAGCCTGCGGCGGGCTCGATCCGAGTTTGGGTATTCCATCTACCCCAACGGGCCATCGCCGCCGCCCTCTCCCGTGCTCTGCGCGTCGATTCGCATCTCGGCGAATCTCGCGCGTTGATTGCGGCGTAGGCGGCGCGCGACTGCCACGGGATGGCCTGTGGGAGGTGCAGAGAAGGCTCATCACAGAAGGATTGGAGACTGCGGCGCGCGACTGCACGGGGTGGCCGAGTGGCGCAGGTAGAAAGAGACGAGGAACCACAGCACCCCACCAGCCACCACCAAGCCGGGGTGGCCCGGCTCGGGCGGGTGGACACGGAAGATGAGCAGTAGCGCGGCCCAGGCCGAGGCGTGCATCACAACCAGCGCGGCGCCAAACAGCTTGCGCGCGCGCTGCTGGTCCGCCATGCGGTTCGCCCTGTGAAGAAGGCACGGTCTTTGTGAGGGAGTGAGCAAGCGTTGGCAGGAAGGAAGCACCCGAGGTGCCTCCATCGTGCGACGGCAAGCGCAGCTCCGGCCAAAGCCGTCAGCACGCCCGTGTCTCTGACGGCCGGGTAGACGGCGGCGAGAATTAAATGAATCGCCGTCCAGGCTGCCAGGAAGATGACGAGCGGTGTGTACGCAGAGCGAAAGGCGGCCGCGGTGAAGCGCGACTCGAGCACGGGGTCGGGTATGACGAGGCTCCATACACGAGCACGGGGTCGGGTATGGCGCAGCGGCGTGTCGGTCGCAGGCCAGACCGCCGCGAGGGAGAGCGTGAGCGCCATGGCGACAGCGCCGCGCCAGGTCGCCCCGGCAGCGGCGTGGCGAGTTCCACTACGCTCGCGTCTTGCAGCCGCCTTCTCTGCCGTCAGCAGCTCGTGCCGTGCCTGCAGCAGAGCTATGCGCTCCTCGAGCTCTTTGAGCGTTTGATCGTCTGTCCTCCTGCGAGGAGCGGGGCTTGCCTCGGCCGCAACGTGGTCGGAGACGAACAGGGCCAGCGCAGCGATGACGCAGGTGAGCGCCGTGAATAGCGCGGTGCGATCGAACATGGATCGAATATCGCAATCGTTTGAGTCATGGAGCTCGGAGGAGCGAAATTCCCCACACAGGGCGGTCTGAATTCTTTTTCAGTGTCTGTAGCTCCTACGTAAATTCCCGAGGAGGACTCTGCTGACAGGGTTTGCGCTGCGGAGGAATTTATCTCAATTGCCAGAGAAGAAAGAAAAAAAAACACCTGGCTAGGGAACCAGCTCGCTGCACGCCTTCCTCTCCGGGCGGGGGACGCACGCCACGTCGCTTGCGGCCCAGCTCGACGCACGGCTCGACACCGAGAGGCAGGACACGCTGCTCACCTGGGCCGCTCGGCACGGGCAGGCCGAGACGGCGCGGCTGCTGCTCGAAGGCGGCGCGAGCGTGGGGGCGACGAACGGCAGGGGCGCTTCCGCTCTCCTCCTCGCGTGCGCTGGGGGCTACCTCGAGATCGTTCGGCTGCTCCTCGAGGCCAGCGCGGCGGTCGGCCAAGCTGCTGATGGCGGCTTCACGCCGCTGATCGTCGCGTGCGAGAACGGCCAGCACGAGTGCGTTCGGCTGCTTCTCGAGGCGGGCGCTGCGCCCAACCAAGCCAAGAACGACGGCGCCACGCCGCTGTTCGCCGCGTGCTACAATGGCCACCTCGAGATCGTCAGGCTGCTCCTCGAGGCCAGCGCGGCGGTCGGCCAAGCTGCTGATGGCGGCTTCACGCCGCTGATCGTCGCGTGCGAGAACGGCCAGCACGAGTGCGTTCGGCTGCTTCTCGAGGCTGGCGCGGCGATCAACCAAGCCCGCAACACTGGCGCCACGCCTCTCTTCAAGGCGTGCCAGGAGGGCCACCTCGAGTGCGCCCGGCGGCTTCTCGAGGCTGGCGCGGCGATCAACCAAGCCAAGGACGGCGGCTGGACGCCAATGCTCGTCGCGTGCGAGAACGGCCACCTCGAGATGGTCCGGCTGCTCCTCGAGGCTGGCGCGGCGGCCAATCAAGCCCGCAACACTGGCGCCACGCCTCTCTTCAAGGCGTGCCAGAACGGCCACCTCGAGATCGCCAGGCTGCTCCTCGAGGCTGGCGCGGCGATCAACCAAGCCCGCAACGACGGCGCCACGCCGCTGTTCGCCGCGTGTTTCCAGGGCCACCTCGAGATCGCCCGGCTGCTCCTCGAGGCCAGCGCGGCGATCAATCAAGCCAAGGAGAGTGGCGCCACGCCGCTGTACATCGCGTGCCAGCATGGCCACCTCTACCTCGCCCGGCTGCTCATCGAAGCGGGCGCGGCTATCGATCAAGCCAAGCAGAACGGCGCCACGCCGCTGATCATGGCGTGCCAGCAGGGCCACCTCGAGGTCGCCAAGCTCCTCTCCTCCTACGGCGCCTCCCGCGCCGCTACGCCCTTCGGCACGCCCGAGGAGGTCGCAAACAGCCGCGGCCACGCCGACCTCGCCGCCTGGCTGGTCGCCAGCCGCGGCTGGACGCCGCTCGCGCACCTTGAGACCCTCACCGCCGCCCGCGCCACCTCCCTGCTGCGCAGCGGCGCAAGCTTGCACGAGGGCGAGCCGACGCCGCTGCGGCGCGCCGCGGGCGGCGAGGGCGAGGCGGCGGCGCTGGTTCGGCGGGCGGCGGCGCCGTGGTCGCCGGCAAGCCACTCGCTCTTCCCCGCGGCGGCCCGCAAGCGGGCGGCGCTCCTCGTTCTCTCGCTCTACGAGATCCACGAGCAGCACCATCTCGATTCGGAAGGAAACACGAACGGCATCGCGGCGCTCGACTTTGGCCACTGCGTCTTGCGCTTCGCCATCACGCGCGAGTCGGAGTAGAGCCGTGAGGGAGCTGCGGTGATTTTGCTTTGCCCCTCGCGCTCGCCTCCGACCATGGCGCTGTGTGTCTTCTTGGGATGGGTCCTCCGAGGCCAAGTTCGAAGTTGCCCGCCAAAAGAAAGCCAATTCTTGACTTGGGCCCTGGGGGAGGCCTGCACAGCAAAACTGCCCGGGGGGGCGAGCATGGTAACGGGGCTCGTTACGGGCCCGTATACCGTTACCATGCTCGCAGTTTTGCTGTGCGCGGGTGGCCCCTTCTCTCGAGGTCTCGAGATACACTGAGCGGCCAAGAGGCCAAGGGGGATTGGGGTCCGGAACTCTGCACGGGACTGTGGTGTCTGTCTTTTCTTCTTCATCACGTTTTCAGCCCAGGCGCTTGCGACGGCTTGCTCGTCTAGAGCTACGCGCTGTCTACGATGCTCGCGAACTCCATGCTCGCCATGAAGCTGAGGGCCGCCCTGGCTGCCCAGGGACGACGAACGCAGGCTGCGGCGCAGTTACAGGCGCAGCCTCCTTCGGCGGTGCAGGCGCAGCCTCCTTCGGCGGTGCAGGCGCAGCCTCCTTCGGCGGTGCAGGCGCAGCTCCCGCCGTCCCCTCCGGCTGCGCACGCGCCGACTCTCGAGGCCGTCGGCGAGGACTCGATCCGCGTGACGTGGGCGGTGCCGCGAGGCGTCGCCAAGCCCCAGGCGCATGCCGAAATCAGCTTGCGCGTCGAGGGATCATCGCGCTGGCTGCGGGTCGACGCTGTGTCCGGAAAGCTGGACGAGCCGGACGCTCTGCCGCTGCCGCTCGAGACGACCTGCTGCGTGGTCAAGAGCATCGACCCGCAGGTCACGTACGTTGCGCGCGTCCGCCTCGGCAATCAGTCTGGCTGGGGTCCCGACTCGCCTTCCAGCAAGGGGCTGCAGCTGGCCGCGCTGACGCCGATCGCTCCCGCCGCACCGATTCTCGAGGCGGTCAATTCCACAAGCCTGCGCGTGCACTTTACGCTGCCGCCTGTTCGGCCGGGCACGCCGGCCTCGCCATCTTCGCCAATTTCCGCGATCGCCATCTTTGTCCAGCCCGATGGCGGTGCGTGGCAGTTGCTGGACGCCACGTCGTCAACTCTTACGGCCGGCACCGGCAACGCCTTCCTGCCAGCAGCGTCGCGTGCTCTCGCCAAGGGACTTTCCGAGGGCGTGACCTACAAGGCAAAGATCCGAGCGAAGAGCGTCTGCGGCTGGGGTGAGTTCTCCCCGATCAGCGAGCCGCTGCAGCTTCACTTCAAGCCGACCGCTCCCGCCGCGCCGGTTCTCGAGGAGGCGCTGGACGCGACGAGCATGCGCGTGCACTACACGCTGCCGCCTGTCCGGCCGGGCACTCCGGCACACAAATGGCTCGCCATCCATGTCCAGCCCGATGGCGGTGCGTGGCAGGTGCTCGACGCTTTATCCTCCACTCTGAGCGACACACCGCGAAAGGTCGTCCAGCTGCTCTCGGGAAGCCCATCGTATGCTGTTGTCAAGGGGCTGTCTGAGGGCGTGACCTACCGAGCCAGGGTCCACACGGAGAACATCCACGGCTGGAGCGCTTTCTCGCCGATCAGCGAGCCGCTGCAGCTGCCGGTGTCGGAGGTGGAGGTCACGGGCAGCAGGTCGCGCGAGGAGCGCGACGCCGAGCTCCGCAAGCGCGCGGTGGACGTCGACGCGGAGGTCGTGGAACTCGACGCCTCGCCCTGCCCCAAGCGGGCGAGGTAGGCTGCCTGCGATCCCGCCCTCGCGGCATTTGTTTGATTGTGGCATCGAGGAGTACTTGTCCGGAGCACTCAGCGCTGCCGGGTGATGCTCCTCTTGAAATGTACGTTCGGTACGTGGAGAGGGTGACGCGACACGAACATAGTTTCCTCCTGCTCTCTTACTTTCTGTGTGTCTGTGTCCCACGTGCATGAGAGTCCGTCCCGCGTCCGTGCACCGTGGAGCGTGGACCCCGTGCATGACCTCTCGTTTGTCGTTCTCCCAAGCCGATTTCTTTTTTGCTTTTGGCGGCGTTTAAAAAAGCATCTTACTCGCGGAAGTTCAGCGCCCAGAAGTTCAGCGCGTTTGAATGCCGTGGTACTCCTGTCGTAAGACGTGGAGACGCGAGGGTTGCCCCCCCTTGCCCCTTGCACCACCACCTCGTGTGTGTGGAGAAGTTTACCTTACCTTACCTTACCTTCAGCGCGTGTCATGGGTGGTTAGGCGCGCGACACGCACAGCGACACAGGCTCACCCGATAGTCAACGGCTCCCCCGGCCTCACCTCGAGCACCTCCGCGCCGACGCCTGCCTCCGCCAGCAGCCTTTCGAACTCGTTCCCCGCGCCGATCGGCGTGACGAGCGGCGCGGCGATGCCCGCGGCGTCGATCGCGCCGTTGGACATCGGCAGCACCAGCCGAGGCCGCAGCGTCTCGACGAGGCGGACTGCCGCCGCGGGCCCGTGCACGAGCTCGAAGCCGGGCAGCGCCTGGCCGCGGGTCGGCGTGATAACGGCGTCGACGGGCGCGAAGGCGCGCAGCTCGTCCTCGTCGAACTCGACGTGCGGCTCGAGGTAGAGGGACGGGGCGGCGCCCTCCTGCACGGGGCGGAGCACGTACCTGCGCCGAGGAGGGCAGCAGAGGGGGGAGGGAGGGGGCGGGGTGAGGACGTGAGTCGGAGAGCGTCTGCGGCATCGGCGGGGCCGCGTGATTGCGAGCGAGTCTCCATGCGCAACGGGGGCCGTGCGACAGCCTTGCTGTAGCGGTCGAGGGGTGTGGCCGCCTGGCATCTAGGCGCACGGCGCCCGTTCTCGCGCCGCTGCCACGGAGGCCCGACGAGCGCGCCGCTCGTTGCCGTCACGCGAAGGCCGCCACCTAGAGCGCAGTCCCCCGAACCTTCTCGGGACCTTCGCAGGCGAGCCCCCCCCCTCTCGCGCAGGCCGGCGCCGCCGCCGCCGCGGCGCGGCCGCACGACCGCCTCTGCGGCGTGAGTGGCGTCGGCAGGCAGCCGGACTGTGGGGAGCGAGGAGAGGCCGAGGTATGGCAGCTCTATCCGGCGGCTGGGCGAGGCGAGGCACTGCACGACGCCGCGGCCGAAGGCGCGCTCGACCGCAGGTAGCGCCGAGGGCGGTGCGAGGATCGGCAAGGTCGGGTCCAGCTCGGCCAGGCGGGCGAGAGTGCGCGCGTGGGCGTGGTCGTCGAGGCCTTGAGTGATGAGGAGGGCGTCGAGCGGCGGGAGCGAGCTGGTGGAGCCCGACTCGGGAAGCACACGCCTGCGAGGCGCCATCGACGCCGCGTGAGGTGCACCCGGCGGTGCCGAATAGCGGCGGGAGAAGGCGGGCGCTGCTTTGAAGCGGCGAAGAGCGCCGGGATGCCAAAGTCGAGGCGACCCTCGAGGATAGGGTCGACGAGGACCGTGACGCCAGCTGCGCTGATTAGCCAGCCGTTTATCTCCAGGTAGGTGAGCGTCGCGCCGCCGGAGGTTTCAGCCGGCGGCCAGTGCTGTGCAGCGGCCGAGGGCGCAGCGGCCGAGGCGAGGACGCTGGTTGTCCGCAGCCGACCTCTCCATGAGGCAGCTGCGAGCACTTTGATCAGAATGACGTTAATCTGCATATTCGGGGAGCGTGCCGCTGCCGCTGCCGGCCAGCGACCGGCCCAGTGTTCGCGTGTTCGGCTGGCCAGTGCTGTGCAGCGGCCGAGGGCGCAGCGGCCGAGGCGAGGACGCTGGTTGTCCGCAGCCGACCTCTCCATGGGCGGCTGCGAGCACTTTGATCAGGATTACGTTCATCTGCATATTCGGGGAGCGTGGCGCTGCCGCTGCCGGCCCCAGTGTTCAGTCCAACTTCGCGTGTTCGGCTGGAGCAGGCTGGCTGGAGGACGAGAATAACGGGTAGAATAAAGCGGCGAGGCCGGCGCTCGGCCCCTGTCACGTCGTGAGCGCGTCGTCGCGAGAGTAGCCAGTAGCCCTGCCGAGCCCGTTGCCTGCGATAAGAGACTATGGAGAGTTCACGTCATGACGGTTAAAACGGCTGTTAACCGTCATGACGTGGTCAATATGTCATGACAGCGGCTGCGAAACGACAGCAGCAACGACGGCAGCAACGACAGCTGGTGACAGCTGGTGACAGCTGGTGACAGCTGGTGACAGCCAGCTGCCAAGGAGGAGTGAAAGGCACCAGGAACAGTGACAGCCATAGTGACAGTGACAGTGAAGCCAGTGAATGCCAACGACAGGCGGTGACAATGTCAGCGCGGGGCCCCGCGAGTGACAGCGACAGCGACAGCGACAGCGACAGCGACAGCGACAGCGACAGCGAGGCAGCGCCACAGGCACAGCCGTGAGGCAGCCATAGCCCTCGTGAACGAACTTGAGCTTATTCCAGCCATAGTCATCGTCTACGATCCACATGCAGACTGCCGGTGACAGCATGCACCTTGAGAGGTTCAACCCGAGGTGTGTTGCTCAATGCTCTGCGCGTTTGCTTGTGATCGTGATTTCAAGGTCCCAATCCTCGCGGCTGAGGATTGACACCGTTCGCTCGCGTGAGATTTTTGAGCGGCAGATGAACCAGCGCTGGAGCCCATCACGGCACATGCTGGAGGAAGGAGGGCAAGGGTTTTGCAGATTCTCCGACTCACGCCCGCTACTGCTGAGCGTGCGTGGCTACTGTTGAGAGGGTTTCTCATGTGGCGTCGGGCGTGCGAGTGAGCGGTCTCGCGCGCATGCATCTATATCTTGAGTGTCCTGTCTCTCTCGCTAGTGGCACCACACACTGTCCTGCGGGGGTGCTCATGACAGCAGCAATGACAGCAGCAATGACAGCAGCAATGACAGCAGCAATGACAGCAGCAATGACAGCACAGCAGCAGCAACGACAGCGATGACAGCAGCAATGACAGCAGGAATGACAGCTGCGCAATTACAGCAGCAGTGACAGTTGGACCGTCGGGGATGGTTACGACAGCAGCAACGACAGCAGCAACGACAGCAGCAACGACAGCTGGTGACAGCTGGTGACAGCTGGTGACAGCTGGTGACAGCTGGTGACAGGTAGGTGTCACTGTCGCTGTCGTTTGCTGTATGACAGCTGGCAGCTGTCATGACAGCGGCTAACCGTCATGACAGCGGCTAACCGTCATGACGTGAACTCTCCATAGTCTCTAAGAGTCGCGTGCAGTACCTCGTGGAGTGCCCGAAGATGGCCGAGTCGGCCACTCGAGCGCCTTGAGCAGCAGGCCCGAAAAAAAAAAGAATTTGCTCCGTACCGACACTGGGCATGCACATGCACGGAAGGCGAGCAATCTCCTGTGCGTGCATGCTCGCGGGCGGCGCTTCGACGAGGCCAGCGCTCGTCACATTCGACTGCACCGGAACGCTCTTCGAGCCGGTCGCTCGCATCGGCGTCCTCTACAAGCGCGCCGCCGTTGCCGAGGCGTGGAAGGCGTCCCTCGCACGCGCTGTAGCCGCCGAGGCGCTGGACGAGGACGCGCTCTCCGCCGCCTTTCGCAGCGCGTTCGCTGAGGCTGACCGCGAGCGGCCCTGCTTCGGCGCTGGCGCCTGCTCCTCTGAGGACTGGTGGCATCCAGTGGTTGAGCGGACCTTTGCGGCGGCGGCTGCAGAGAGCGCCGGCTGCTCGGAAGACGCGCTGCGTCCGCTCCTGCCGGGCGCCTTCCGGACGCTCTACCACGAGACGTTTGTCTCGCGCGCCGGGTGGAGGCTCCGGCCACACGCCGCCGACACGCTCTCGGCCCTCAGCGCGTGGCGAGAGGCGCGGCCAGCCTCGGAGACGGATCTGAAGGTCGGCGTGGTGTCCAACTGGGACGACCGGCTCCCGCTCCTGCTCGAGCGGCGACTCTGATGCTCTGTGCCGCCGCCTCTCCCACCTCGCGCCTCCGCCGAACCTGCTCGGGACCTGTCCTGTCCGTAGGCTCGGCGTGAGGCGGCACGTCGACTTTGTGCTCACATCGCGCGAGGAGAGAGATGATCCGAGATGATCCGAGATGGTTCTGAGATGGACCGAGCTTGTCGACTTCGTGCTCACGCGAGGCGGGCGGACACACACACACACACACACACACACACACACACACACACACACACACACACACACACACACACACACACACACACACACACACACACACACACCACTCACGCACCCACGGGCAGGAGAGCCGTTGTTGTTTGATGATGCACCGCAGGCGGGCGTCGAGAAGCCGTCCGCCGAGCTCTTTGCGCGCGCGAGGGGCCTCGCAGGCGTGGCTGCCGACGCGCGCTGCTTGCATGTCGGCGACTCGTTTTCGCGCGATGTCGTCGGTGCCGCCGGCGCGTTGAATAGATGGGCTGTCGCGACACCCGCCTGTCTAGGAGCCACGCAGGCTCGGACGCCACCTCTCCCCGGACTCTCCCCAGGTGCGGGGTGGGAGGCGCTCTTTGTGTGCTCGGCCGAGCAGCGAGCCGCCGTCGGAGGCGAGGCGCTCGCCGCTGTCGAGCACGCCCACCTCGAGTCGCTGGCCAGGCTGCCCGCCCTCTTGTCGCTCGGCGAGCAGCCCGAGGCGAGGGGCGGCGCGCACCAGCCGTCCGCGCCCGTCCGCGCCGCGTCGTAATCTCTCTCGCCTCTCGGCCAGAGTCTCTAGTTCTATATCAGAGCGACTCCGCGTCTTGTGCGCGTGTCTCGTGTGGTATATGTACACACAATGAGTTTGCGAAAATGCCGCGGTCAGGACAGAGACAGCAGACACCACTCACCAGACACCTCACCGCTCACGCACGAACAAGGCTGTGGCGAGACGGAGAGTTAATCAAGGTGGAGAAAACCCCCGGCCCACGTGCGGCTCACAGCTCGACTCTCTGCCACCTGGCCAGGCCCACCTGCCGCGGCACGCCGTTCGTCAGCGCCACGTGCGAAGTGGTGAGCTCCGAGCCGTCTGCCGACAGCCGGTAGCGCTGCACGCTGCTCTGGCCGACCATGCTCGCACTGCTGGCGGCCGTGACCTGGGCCGGGAGAGAAGCGGTCTCGGGGGGAGGCGAGGCGGCGGCGCTGGGAGGCGGCGGCGGCGGCGGCGCTGGGGTGTGTCGCGCCTCGTGCTCCACACAAGGACCGCCGTGCGGGTACAGCGAGGCGTCCACGACGCCATGCATGTAATACTTGCCGCTGAAGCCCGCAAAGACCTTCTCGCCCGATCCCCTCTTGATGAGCTCAAGCTGGCAGCTCATGCGGCCGTTTGGCTCGTACACGAGCAGTCCGGCGGCGACATCATCCGCTGCTGCCGGCACGAGCCTGTAGACTCCTGCGATGCTGCTGCGGGTGGCGGGCTGCGCCGAAACGCTGCTGCTGCTGCTGCCGAGCTGTACGCCCAGCGCAAAGCCCGCGCCTGCTGCTGCTACTGCTGCCCGAGCAAATCGAGACATGGCGGCATGACAGCGCCGTGATTACGTAGGGTTCGGCTCCTGGCGGATAGAGGGTCTGCCGCTGGTGGCTTGGGTCCAATCCGAGCCTGACTGTTCATCATTTCCTACATACATACATACATTTGTGAACGCCCCAGAGGGCCCCGCATTGCTGGTAGGGGTCTTTTCCATGCGTGACCTAGTAGTGTCCCCAGCTATGGGCGTGTCCACGGTGGGTGGAGCCAGATGTGGTGTGGACGCGAGAATAGCTCCGCCGTTCATGGAGGCAACCGATGCGAGTCGACTGGTGTGTGTCGTCGTGGTTTCGTATCAAGAATACTCACTCACATTCTCGCCATGCTCGCCCCCCGCGCCACATTCTCCGCTCGCTCTCGAGCATCTCGCTACGGAGACACAGCCCAGTAAAGGAGGAGGACAGTTTTTTACTTATCACATGTTTTTCTTTTCAACCAGGAGCCGATGGACATATTGGAGCCGCATGCAGTGGTCGGAGTCGACAGTGGCGGTGGCGACAGCAGCGAGGTTTCAATCGGATGTGAGTTCATGTGAGGCTGAAAAGCGGGTGCGGCAGGGAGCATGCGGCAGCCAGGGCGCAAGCTTCGGAGGCAATGACGAAGGCTGAGGCCACAGTGGGTTGGATATCCAGTAGCCCGGGTAGGTGCAGCTGCTTACGTGGGAGTTGCTCTCTGTGCTCATCAAATTTGGTGAAGGACTGGCTGGAGCCAGAGGCAGAGGGACATCTCAAGGCGCGAGACTTCAAACACTCTCGACATGTTACACGCATCCCCGGCAGAGCGGGCCGGTAGTATGCGTTGCGCAATTGGCATGCCCCGCCAGCACGTTGTCACTACTAGAGGCGCAACACGACTGACATGTTGGACATGAAGACCGGGTCTTCACGCGGGACAGCCGCGCAAAGGGGGTTCCGCCAATTCTCCTCTTCTGCACACAGCGGCTCTGCAAACGCAACACCTCTCTCGCGCGACTCACTCCCGAGTGCTTCTAGCCTCTGGGGGCGAAGGTACATCCCAGCCGCAAGCGCATCTCGCGCTGTCAGATGGGTTGCAGCCCAAGCGCGCGGCGTCGCATGTGTTTCCCGTCCGAATCTCTCTCCTGTCCGCCCCGCGAGCTCTACGCTCGCTTACCTCTCCTCGGCCCTCGAGGCCGCACATGAAGTCGTGGTCGCTGGCCGGTCTCCTGCGCCATGGAAACCCGCCAAGCGCCTTAATATACAGTCGCCGAGCCGCACGCCGCACACGCGCGCGGCCTCCAAGTAGCACACGTCGATGATTCAGCGCGATGGGCGCAGTTCAGGAGCCCTCTTCGAACTTGTCGCACGCGCGCCTCATGGCGGCGTGGAGCGGTCCTTGTTCGCCGCTCGGCGATCGACCGACGCGTCGTCGGCATCGGTCGCGCTGGCCTCGAGGAGCCGGACGCACTCGAGGTGGTTGCTCTGGCACGCAACGAACAGCGGCATGGCGCCGTGCACCGCCGCACCCGCCGCACCCGCTTCCTCAGCGGCGATCTTGTCGGCCGACGTATCCACCACGAGTGAGACGGCCGCGGCGCGAGCGATGTCGACGGGGCTGTCGCAGCGAGAGAGGGCGCGCACGAGGGGGTCCGTGGGGAGGTCGAGGAGGCGGGCGGGCGGCGGCGTGCTCGGCGAAGGCGCTGCTGCTGCGGCGGCGTCGAGGCGGCACGAGCGGCGCGGCGCCGCCTGCTCGGAGGGCTGCGCCTGCTCGATCGCGTCTTGCGCCCGCGCGAGCACGGCGAGGCGTTCGCCTGCGAGACGCTCGGCGGCGAAGCGCTCCAACCCCTCCCCGGCCGGATCTGGGCCAAGGGTGTCGGCCAAGTGCTTGACTCGGTCTGTGTCGACCCCAGCCTGCTTGCCGGCGGTGAGGGCGAGGCCATGACTATCTCCAGCCGACACACAGACGACGCGCCGCCCAGCCAACGCCTCGACCTTCTTCGGCAGCGGCTGGTACTGTTGGTTGCCGTGGCCCACCTGGCCCCCGCCTCCAGCGCCCCAGCTCCAGACGGCGCCCTTGTTAGCCTCGTCGAGAGGTGGCGGCTCGTCGGCCTGGGCGGCCTCCCGTTCCTCCTCCTCCGCCATCGACTCTTGCTCCTCCTCTTCCTCCACCTCCTCCTCCTCTTCCTCCTCCTCTTCTTCCTCCTCCTCCGCCTCTTCCTCTTCCTCCTCCTCTTCCTCCACCTCCGTCTCCTCCCCCAGCCCCGCCTCCTCCTTCACCTCCGCCCCCTGGGCCTTCTCCACCTCCTTCGCCGCCGCCGCCGCCGCCGCCACCTCCTCCTCCTGCTGCTGCTCGTCAGTGCGCAACGCCATCACTGACGTCGGCGACCCGGGAGGCAAGCCACCGGCCGGCGTCGGGCGCGGAAGCGCGCGAGCGATGTGCGACTTGAAGGCGTCGACGACTCGAGAGTGGCCCGCCTGCTTGGCCAGCTGAGGCGCCGTGAGCCCGTTCGCGTCTCGCAGCGCGAAGGTCGCGCCGGCGGCGAGCAGCGTGTCGACGACGTCCGCGTGGCCTTGCTGAGCGGCCAGCATCAGCGAGGTGCGGCCATCGCCGTCGGCGAGGTCGATCTGCGCGCGGGCCTTGAGCAGCGCATCGGCCGTCTCGGACGACGCGGCGAGCATCAGCGCGCTCCTGCCCCTCTTGTCCTTGAGGTCGACGGCGGCGCCGCGCCCCAGCAGCGCCTCGACAAGGTGCGCGTGGCCAGAGCTGCCGGCGAGCATCAGCAGCGACATTCCGTCCTCGCCGCGCGGCGCATCCACAGGCCAGTGCGACGAGTCCAAGTACATGTCGACGATGGCGCCGTCGCCCGCGTGCACCGCCTGGAAGAGGAGGCTCTTGTCGCGCTTTGCGTGGACGAGGAGCTCGACGATCTCGGACTCCAGCTTCATCGTCGCCTTCACCTTGGCGCGCTTCCGCCGCTGCTCGGCCTCAGACAGCACTCTTCCGAGGTCATCGCCGCTCGCCGCACCGTACTCGATGAGCTCGCGCACGATCGCGACGCGCTGCTGGGGCTGGATGCGGACCACGCGGCCGTCGATCTTGGGCATAGGCTCAACTGTGAGAGCCATCCTCAGCGCGCTGTTGCCGTTGCTAGCCCTCCGGTCGGCCGCCGCGCCGCGGCGCAGCAGCGTGCGCACCACCTCAAGGTTGCCGTTGAGAGACGCGAGCATGAGAAGCGTGAGGCCGGTCTTGCGCTTGCGCGAGCCCGGCCGGACAACCACAAGCGAGTAGTTGACGTCGCCGCCGGCGTTGAGGTACGCCTCGACCACTTCTGGGTCGGCTTCGGCGTCGGTGACTCCTCTGGCTGAGTAGAAGCAGAGGTAGCCCGCCTCGAGGAATGCCTGGAGCACATCGCAGTGGTAGAGCTTACGCTCCTCCGCCACGTGTCCGGCTAGGTGCGCCGCCTCGTCGATGTACTTGCGACTCGGCCCCGCTGCGAGAAGCACGCGGACCACGTCCGCGTGCCTGCCCACCACAGCGCGGCACAAAGCGCTGGACTCCACCGCTCCCCGGCTCAGCAGCAGCGATGCCACCTCGGCGTTGCCGTTCTCGCACGCGAGCGCCAGTAGCGTGATTGTGTCCTCCGCGACCGGCACCGAGAAGTTGACGTCCAGGCCGGCATCGAGGTACCTGTTCACGGTCGAGATGGAATGAGACGCTGCTCACGCCGTAGCCTCGCTCGCGGAGGGAGAGGCCACATTTCGACCACAGTGGGGGGAGCGCCCGCTTGCGTGAACTCCATAGCAGAGCGGTAGAGGACGAACCCCTTCTCTCGGCAGAAGCCCGCCTCACGGAAGGCGAGGAGCACATCGGACGCTTTTGGCTCGGATGGTGAAATCGGGCCCTCGTGGATCTTGCCGTCAGTCATGCGCTCGACGTTGATTAAGGCCGCGTCAACGAAGTCGTAATCCACATCCCATTTCGGGTCCAGAAGCAGGCGTACGAGAGCCGGGCGACGGAGTATCACAGCTGCATTCAGCGACTCGAAGTCGACGATCCCGCCGCGCTGCAGAAGGAGCTCCGCCATGGCGGGCTGGTTGTAAAAGCACGCGTGGAACAGCAGCGTCCACCCGTCCGTCTCCTGCGGCGCGCTCACGTCAAGGCCGGCATCGAGGAACCCCTCGACGGCGTCGACGTCTCCATCACGGACCATCTCTCGCAGCGCC